TGTTGTCTGTGTTAAGACAATAACAGTATAATCATCTGTTATGTATTAGTTAGCTTGATGAAACATGTCGTACAAAATTTAAGCCACTCCATTTTGACAAGTTTGCACATTACCAAGGTGCATTCATCAACACTATATTTCTTTGTTTAAAATTATTCAGATTTTTCCTTATTAATATTGTTTTGACTGACACAGTACAGAGTTGCATTAAATTTCACAAACCTAACTCTAAGCAATCAAGTATGTAGTTCACTTAAAAAGAGTTAGCATATTATTTTTAACTAATAGTGCCTTACTTGTATAGTTGTGTAACTTCATGTGTGGTGAGTTTACCATCAGCTGCTGCTCTTGTCTGTCACTGTTTCTAAAATACCCTCTGTCCTGACAGCTCCTTCTACTTACCTCTTCTCCCAAAAAGCACAAAAACACTGGTTGGAGCAGTAACAGTAGTTGTTAGGGATCCCTGCTGTCATCGTGTTGACAGACCTGCCAGTTTAGACCTCCCTCCCCATTTCTTGAAATTCCTGACAGGCACATAGACCCGAGTCATCATCCCATCCGGTTTGGACTGTTGAGGGCAGCTGTCCTCCCTCTGTCCAAAATATTCAGCTGACCTTTGACCCCACATCAGTTAGACTTCATCACTATAGGACACACTTGTTTGCTGAGGATGATTTATTCCTTTTTCATCTTTATTTCTAGCCATTTTCTTTACATCTGAACCAAATCCATATAAAGGCAATCGTTGTTCAATAGCAGACAGGAGAAGGGACACTTTATGCATTGCTACTATGACTACAACAATAACACAACAAAATAGAAATGAAAATTATTTCTGTCTGCCTCTCCAGACTCTGCTACAAATATAAGATACTGTTTAGAATAGTCAGACAAATTCACAACTATAGCCTATGCTGTATGTAAACATATGATCATGGAGATATTCAAGTTAGAGGCAATGGTTTTCTGAATGGGCTTATTTATGCTTATTTACATGTAGGCATTTACATGAATACCGCAAATTTCCTAACAAGTGTTCTCCCCTTCAGTGTGCATGTTAAAATTAGATTGCCCAGTCTTCCTGTGATGACAAATGGTTTACTATGCTCATTATCCTCCTGCTAACTTTGTTCTCCCTTTAGCTGTTACCATGGCTGTCATGGCTTTAGTTAAAAATAGCCTCTCGTGTCCAGGTTGTAGTCTCACATCAAATTAGCACACTTGAAATACCATGATTCAAATAATAGTAATGCATTACATTTCAATCGTGAGAAGCAGTGAATCAGAAAAGCCTGAGCCCTGGGTACAAACCATTATAGTGGACATGCTCTTTAACCTTCCGCAGTCCCACACAGGGTTCTGCAAACAGACCTCCACTCACGGTGATGATGAGCTACTTCTACAACACAGTTTGTCTGTTTGGCGTCAGTTGATATAAGTGAGGTGACCGATCTTGGACATCGGCCCCTCTGACTGACCATTTCCAATCACTCACCCGTCACATTCATACTTGTGCAGGGTGGGAAAAATCTTTGCCCAGGAAACAAGAACAGTATGTACTTATCACAGCAAAGCCTCTTGACCCATCAGATAGATAGTTAGATTTGTGTGGCTTTTATCAGACCATTATTAAATGAGTACATTTTGTGCTTTGTAGAAATTGGAATTGTTAAAAGACATTTTCTAGCCTTTTTTTGCAGTTTGAGACCACATCTATCCGCTGTGTAATAATTTACTCTTACAATATGGATGTCAAATTTGAAATCTTATTTTAGCATCTCTTAAATAATTCAAATTAGAATGAATTTGTAACATCTGATTAAATATTTATGTATTTAAACCCCTGAGACATTTATATTCTCTTGAATCTGCTATAGCCTATTCAAGTGGATGCTAAACTTCTTATTGATGTATTACTGCCTTATACTGTTTATATTTACTTAACATGACGTCTTTTGTTAATGTTTTGGGACGATGATTCTTAGCAACTGGATTTAAGAAATATGTGTTTACACTTTTAATGGTTCTTTCACATTTGTGTTTATTTCTGGCAGCGCTCTGTTCTGGTAGCCTCACAATGGGATGCTCTTATCCTGCATTAGTCTATTATACAATTATGGCTACAGCTGTATAACGCTAAAGGCAGGTAAATGGCACATTAAGTGTAATTATGGAAAACTACAGTGGAAAAACTAAATATATTGTGACTTCAGGGACTTACAGGCCACTTTTAGACTTTTAGCATTGTGTATTCTAGTGCACACTCATGAGAAAGTATAAGCCTGCTCTACTGTATATCTTTAATGTCCGTGTTGAAGAAAATAAAAGTTGCCTCCTATAGCATTTGGTCATTTTTGTTGGTTTGTTGTAGTTTGTAATTAGGGATAAAGAAAACCAAGATGCCATGCCCGCCTTTTGACCAATGCACTGTGCTTGACTTTTGTGGTTTATATAATGTGGAAGTAAAAACAGGGAAGAGAAATATCCACTTTCAGGAAGGTTCCCATTTACTCGATTTTATATTAAACAGAAAGCAGAAACTCTAGAGACACTTAGATGCTAAATGTTAACTTTTAATCCACTCATGGCACCATGTTTGTGCCCTTGGGCAAGGCACTTCACTTATCTTGTCTGTATTTTGTGAGCATAAATGGGTCAGTGCTTGATATTGTGATTTCTTTAATTCCCAGTTCATTTTTTTAAGTTTAAAAGTACTTGTCTAAACTGCAGCTCTGTGGAGATGGTCTCCACCTTTGGTATCATAACTTCTCAGTTGTTAGTTCTTCTCCATTCTTCCCACAATGCCTTTCTCTTTGCTCTTGCTCGGCACAGTTTGAGTCTGTGGTGAAACTGAGCTTTTTGCTTCATAAGATTTTCCATCAACAGCAGCAAATAACAAACAGGGTCAGGCGAGGAGAGCGAGGGCGGGCGCACACACGCCGTAGTCCAGTTCAATGATAGGTTTAGGTTTGCGGCTTTTACAGAGAAATTTTGGTGGAGTATCTGAGGAAGATGAAGATGAGGTTCCTATTGGTGGGAACTTAGCATCATCTGCCCACAATTGTTTCTAATGACTGTGTCACATGCAAGATTTATAGAGAGAGATGGTCACAGGATGTAGATGTACTATAGAGCCGGCGCCACCTAATGCTTCTGCTCAATTTCATTTCTCTCCAGCGACTAAGTCAGGAATCGGAATACACTAGACAGTTCGCAAAAACCCCGGAAGTGTGAGTTCGGGCACCAGCCAATCAACAAAGAGCCATACATTCTGTGTTGGCAACAATTCTCGAGATCGAGGATTTAAAGCCGAAACAAAGAGAATGTTTGGTGAATTTTATCAAGGGGAAAGACGTTATTGCCCTTCTTCCTACGGGATTTGGGAAAGCTTAATATATCAGGTAGCCCCGTTAGCGGCACATTACATACGTCATGACCAAATAGCAACGATTGGTTGAAAAAAAAAAACCTAACCTGCCGTCAAGCGAACGAATTCTAATGCTGCGAGGTCAGACGGTTTCTACAAAGTGAAACCAGCTGATGAATCAGGCTAAAACGCTCTACCAACTGAACTACTGCCGGGTTAATGGTGAAATAGCATTGAGAGTGAATGAGCATTATCAAATCAAGCTATGGTTGTATTTAAGAGCGTTTCTATTTAATGTAACTCACATGATGTCACTTTAACCACTCCTCCACTCCTACCACTGTCATGCTCTGACTGACAGCCGGATATAACCAGTCACACAGTTCTCTCTTAAAGGGAAGAACTTAAAGGGAGATTAGGACCTTCGAGCATTTACTCTCACTTTTCCGATTTGGCTGTTTAGCCCTATAGTGCTGTTACTAAGTGTGAGAGGAAATGAGTGAGCGTTCTCTTCTTGGTTATATTTCATAATTGTATTGTATAAGAAGGAAATGGGTGGCATTATTAAATTCAGCCAAGAAATGTTCCCTGACTGTGCTTCCTCTGCAAATGAGCTATTGATGGTTGAGTTCCTTCTCCCTCTGGACTGGTGTTACTCAAGATTTTCAAGTGTGTTCCAGTGCTGCATTGAGTTTTCACTATAAAGAACCCCATATGTTAAATTTTTTTTTTTTTTAAATCAACAAATTCAATAGAAAAAAGAGAAAAAGACAGCAACCACATGTTTTATTACCAAACACTGCATACTCTGGATACAACTTCTTGTTCAGCACATTCCTCACAAATTAGATTTAACAAACTGTCTCTATTTTAAATAAGTGTATGCAGTAATTTGGCGTAATAGGCGATCATTAAAGTTGATTAATAATGGGTTTTATTGTAGCGCTTGTTAGGCTGTTCTTCTCAGTTTATGCTTCGTCAAACCTCAGAGGAGCAAGAACTGGCTTTCATCAAATGGAGCTATTTTACATTTCCACTGTAGTGCCCCGCTGCTCTGGGCCTGCGAGCTTAGTGAGGAAAGTCTGGTAAAACAATGACACTTAGAGGGGATGAAGAATTACAAAACAATTGAACAAAAGCTAACTTATAGCTCTATGATGAAATTAAAAATAAAAACTTAAATAGTTTTAGAACTGGAGGAACCTTCTGAAGTTCCTGGTACTTTTTCTGTTGTTACAATTACATTATAGGCCACAATCAAAACATTTAAAGCTTACAAAATTGATGTGTAATATTAATATTCTTTCAATTTTCGCACATTTTAGGTAGGTTCATAGTCCAAAATTTGACCCTGCATTTCCATCTGTTTTTCTCTTGGGTTTTGAGTGAAGGAATTTGTATTGCGTTATTCACACAATATCCTTATTCAACTTCAAGCTTGTGACTGTTGCCCACTAAAATTGATCAAACAAGAGGAGTCCCGAGTTTCCCAGGATCCTTCACAGCAGACATGGTAGCCTCCCCGTCCAGTTGTTTTCCTTTTCCTCATGTCTGGCTGTAATCCACACAAAAGGATGTCAAAACCACATGGACATATTGGTTTGCTCAAACAATAAACTTCTTTTTACTTTGAAATATTGAAACACTGTCAGATTGAAGTTTGTGGCAAGACCGACTACAAGGTCTGGGAACATAAATGACATGAGGAACATTTTGGGTAAAACAGCTATCAAATGAAAGTCTGAGATAATGTTTTTTAGTAATTGTGCATCATGATAATATGCTTTAGCATCTTAGTTGGCCTCCTATTAACAGCTATAGATTTATGAATGTCTGTATGACTAAAAAGGCATATGCATCTTATTTTACACTAAAAAGGTACTGTTGAACTGTTTTTGCCCGTGCTAGTGTCAAATTTCAAACCCAATTTTGATACTAAGGAATACACTCGTTACTTGACAGATTTCAATACCACAATGATATTTTTAAATACTAGCCAGTCTGGCACCACCTAGTACTTCTGCTCAATTTAATTTCTTTCCAGCGACTAGGTCAGGAATCAGAATACACTAGACGGTTTGCAAGAACCCCGGGAGTTGTAGACCACACATTGGCTAATCAGTGAAGAGCTGTAAAGCCATGACTGGGTTTCTTTTGTGATACAGCACAACAGTAAACAAAGCGGTCGAGATGGATGTAGACAAAGCCATATATTCTGTGTTGGCAACAATTCCCGAGATCAAGAATTTAAAGCAGGAACAAAGAGAATGTTTAATACATTTTATCAAGGGGAAAGGTGTTATTGTCCTTCTTCCAATGGGATTTGGGAAAAGCTTATTATACCAGTTAGCCCTGTTAGTGACAGATTACATATGTCACGAGTCACGACCAAATAGCAACGATTGGTTAAATAAAAAAAGTACCTGCCTACCATCGAGTGAACAAATCCTAATGCTGCAAGGTTAGACGGTTTCCATGAAGTGAAACCGGCTGATGAATCAGACTATTAAAATGCTCCTTTTTGGACAATAGAATGTAATGTTCAACTCAAAACAATAGTACTTTCTTTATGTTACCATGTGATTATGCTAAACCTGTTCAGATTTTTAGGTAGTGTTTAGGTATTTTAAAGTATAGATACGAAAGAGTATCTGGTTTTGATATTAGTTTGCCTTGATTTATGTCTGATTTTCTAAACTTTTGACAACCTACTGTGTTATAAGAATTTAACCTCTAATTTTATTGTCATTACACATGCCCAACACAGTGAAGTTGCCACAGAAGTTACCGTAATCTCACTCGTGTTCCTCAGACTTCCAGCCTTTTTAGTTTTTTTTCTCTGTCTGGGTTTTGTGTTTGAAGTCTTGACAGGCTCCTGGATAAAGTCTCGTGCCTTGAACTGTTTCCCATCATTGAACACACGTCTGCGTCTGGCTGCGTGATAGAGCTCGCCGGGTTTCCGCACTTTCACTTCAACACTCGATAACACACAGGAAGTGCCTTGGAGTGACTGCATTTTGCCAGAGGGGTTAGCGGTAAAGCCTAACCTCTCACCTCTGCTGATCAAACATGTAGGAGTGTGGTCCATGGTGACGCAGCTTGTAATTGTTCTCTGTCTGGTAAAGAATGCTGACTAATATACCTTCTGCTGTAAGTCTGCTAATGCTTTCTTTACAAGCAACAAATTCACAGTTTTAACGTAGAACTGAACAAAGATGAAAAAACTGAAACCATAAAAAGCAAGTCTAGTTAGGACAAAAGAGTGGGTTAGTGATTTTTTTTTTCATTGTAGGTTGCATAGGAAAAAGTAGGGAAAAATTGTGTAAATCTGTCTGTAAATACTGTGTAAAATAGTTTTAGTTTTAGTGATAACAAATCTCAAACTTGCTTTTTTTTAATGCACGTGCCATAGGAAGTCCATATAATTTTAGGTTATTTTATGGATTTTTTGTATAGAAAAGTTTCCTGGCTAAGGGCTGAGACAGACAGAACAGCTGCTCTTTATGGGAATTTTGGGAATCTCTGCCCCTCTTCTTGTCAATGGAAAGGTCCAAAGGTGAATGCTGAAACATGTCAGAGGGTGTTGTGTGTCATAAGGTTAACTAGATGTGTCAGAAAAGTAGAATGTTTATTGTGGCAGCAGGAGCTTAAATATACAATAACTCATTTATTATATTTCTAACATCTAACCCGTCTAACTGGACTTAATATTGCAAATGCTGACAAAGAATTTCATGGCACATATTCTAGTTTTCCTGGTTCTGACAATGTCTGAATGTCTCTCCCCACTCTTCACCCCATTTCATGCTGTTGCTCTCCATCAAAAGACTACAGCTAATGATTCATATAACATCTTTCAAGACCAATAGTACTTACTCTACTGTAACCTAGTCTAGACTATTTCTATTTGGCCCAAAGCAAAGACTATTACCTCAACCCCAAATGATCTGTAAATCATTTGAATCCATGTATTACTGGCATAAATTGTGAGTGCAAGTCATGAGTATGCTTTCTACAAAGTGCCCCTACTGTGCTGTCAGTTGAACCCTGATCCTTAGACCACTTTGTATTTGATGTAGTTTTTGATGTGGTCTGCGTGCTCTAGGGTTTCTGTTAATCTTGAGGCTCAGAGCACTGAAGACAGTAGAACCGTCGCACCAGACAATGACCAAAAGAAGGGCGTGTCATCTTTTTCCCATAATTCTTTGCCTCGTCACTGCCTTTAGTACCTCTGGGGGTGACGACTGACATATACGACACAAATTAAACTTGCAGAAGAAGCCACAAGGACTTGTCACGGCCTGAACGATGAGTGCTGAACTGGCAGGCTTCCACATCGCCCAGCAAAAATCTAGTAAAATATTGTCATCTTTGCCCTTGCGTGTTAGATTTTATTTGATGGAGACATAATTCTTAGTAATGACATGATATCATAACTTCAGTAAAGGATGGGAGGTTTCACTCTTACGGGAAAATGTGTTTCTTTGGCAAGATGTTTGCCAAACCCTAACCCATCACAATGAGGAGAAAATAATACTAGTAATTTAGTGATAATTAAGAATTCTGGCTGAAAACTTTGGCACACTGGGGTAAAAAACATTGTCTTATTGTTCTTCATTGTAATTTATGCTTGAAAAGATGTGTTCAATGCACTGTACATTTAAATCTAGGTGAAAAAATCTTAAGCAAAAAGCATATTAGTGGAACATTTTAGCTGTACAAGTTTTCAAATTAGGGAAAAAATAATTGATAGTCTTTATTCCAAAAATATCTCAACATTGGTAGCTAGATACAACCAGAATTTAAATGTACCATATATTCACCTAGCATTTACACCCTTGCTATTTGTTTATTTTTTCTGGTGTATCACAAAACAGAAATTATTTCAAAAAGAGTGAAGTTTTAAAGTGGTGTGTCGTCTTGCACAGGTGGTTCTGTGAGGGCCGTGAGCTGCACAGTTCTCCAGACATCCAGATCCTGAGAGATGGAGACCTGCACACGCTGGTGATCAACGAAGCCTTCGAGGACGACACGGGGCGCTACACGTGTGTGGCCTCAAACAGCCTGGGAGCAGACAACACCTCCGCTGAGGTCTACATAGAAGGTAAAGAGCAAACATTTTGCACCGTGGTTGGTCATAGTGGCTAATTCTATGGAAATGTTTATATCCAGTGACTTTTTTTTTACCTTTTTCATGTTTCTGTTTATATAGATAGTGCTTGTGATTTATAATGCATGTTGCAGGTTCTAGATTATGACCACTTAGTTTTGTATCAGTTTAAATTATGTCAGGTCATGTTTTTTTTTTCTTTTTCTTTTATTATTATTATTTATCATTATTTATTAGTACACATACAAAACATGAGAAACACAAGCTTTTAAAGCATCTGTATTCTCTTCTCATCTCTCTTGCAGTTACATGTTCAGATCATAGAGATGATGAATTGTTTGATAACTTTTGCCAATTTTGACTAATCAGTTGCCGGTTCATGTTTATAGTCGACCAGGAATTTCTTAAGTCAATCCCATCCTAATCTTCAACATGCCTCTCTACAAAATGCATTGGATTATCCGTTGTCTAATTTGCATTTAGTGATTTAAAAGTCCTCGAGTGCTCATATTGTCTACTATTTATTGTCTGAAATGGAATGTTCTTCCTCTTGCAGGAGCTTCGTCGACAGATTCGGAGGGAGAGGGTACATCCAAGTCCAAATCTGGAGCCATGCCTCTGTACGTGTGTCTCAGTTTGTCCTCATGACCTTTGACCCCTGAACACATGAACAGGTTAAACCAAGCAGGTCGACTGCCTGTTTGTATTTAACTACAGCCTTAAAAAGCTCCTTAAAGACCCATAACTTTTAACCAGTGCCCCAGTTTACAGAAAGCAGGGTTAATATGGCCATCTGCTCCTGTTTCCATTTGGGCTTTTTACCTTTTCCCTACTTTCCTCTTCGACAGGTGATCTGTGTCTTTGGCTAAGAAAAAATCAACTTAGTTACAAAGACAGAAAACTGGCTTCTTTTTTTTTCCACTGACGTGTGTCAAAGTTGTATACTTGAGTAAACAAATGCGTATTTAAACCATTTAAAATAATCTACTAAGTGTTGTGTAATACATTGTCCACTCTGTGCTCTATTTGCCAAATATTTAGATTTTTATCTTGCTACAAATTTCTGGAGAAGTTCCTAGTTCACTTTGTGTTTACTCGCACAAGCCAAGACATGACTGATATCATCTGAATTGCTACTGACCGTTTATTTTGATACAAGAAACATGATTGATACAGAAAAATGAATTGAAACTTGAAAAAAAATGTTTTTGTTTGTTAATGTTGAAAATTTTGTTTCTATCCAGAGTTCAGAAGAAGACGACCTCCATGTCCCTGACGATACGCTCATCCTCGCCCAAAACAACAGAGGTCCTGCCGCGCCGCACCACTCTGGTCCAGGCCCTGACTCAGCCCCCTCCCAGGGTAACACAACACTAATATACAATACAAAGCCTTTGTTCAGAGAGTTCAAATAATTACACTATAATTTTTGTTACAGACACAGAGCCCTGTGTCATCACTGTATGGCGTGGACGTGTCAGGACCCCCTGTTTTTACAAAGGTATGTCAGAAGAATACATGTGTATATTGGGTTACATTGCCATTGCAAAAAGAAAAAGAAAACAAAGTCTTTCAGCAAAATCCTAATAAGGATGAATATGAACTTGACCAAACATCATCCTATTGTTAAATTTGATTAACAATAGTTATTTCCATCCATTTCTCTAAGCCTGCTAATCATGCTTTATCTCTGTTTACTGTAATGATTCCATGTAATGCCAAATATACTCATTTGAGATCTTAGAAAAAAAAACCTACTATTGTACAGACTTCAGACAACAGAACTGTTCTAGCTTCAAAATTTTTGTAGTGGCTTTAGTACCAGTTATAGTAATTTCTACACACATAATTTAGATTCTCGTCACAGCACGCAGCTCTGTGGCTTTCAGCAGTGGGGGTCATATAAAACAGATCTTTCGCAGCCTCTCTCCTATCCTTCCCCCTTTACTCCCCCGCTCCTCGCTCCTCTCTGCCTCGGGCCATAGCACTCCTAAAGTTCGGACTGGGAGACAGGCTGGGACAAAGCTTCAAACGCCCCCTTCCAAAAACCACAGGGGTCGGCTGTCTTTTCACTCTCATCCAGCCCGTCAGACCCTAAATCATTTTCCAGCTCATTACAGAACGACCATTTGTTTGTCTTCACCTCCACCCGCCTCCTTTAAGAAAGCATCACACGCTTTAATCATCTGAATGAGAGGATGTTGGGATGTAAATGATGTCACCCCACGCACATAAGAGAAGACACACATGTCCCAAAACACGAAGACAGACTGAGGGTTCTGTGTAGTCCCTGTAGATAGATGTCCCACCAGGATGTATTGTGTTTTATGGTTGGATGGTGTGGCTTAAAGGAGCCATGGCAAAACTGATTTTCAACCTGTACATTTGTCTTCTCAGGTTTACTGTATACTGTCTAAGTTTAATTTTTACTCCACTTACTTAAATTTGTCATAAAAAAAACGGTTGGCTACTTTCTAAAACAGTCTCTGCTCAAGCTGTTGCCGAACTACAGTGTTATGTTACTATTAAAGCATGTATTAATATTCATTATTTATGCATTCCCTTATTTTTGTAAATTAAAATAACTGAGTAGAGTCAAGACCACATGTCCCTTAGCTTGTCCATACTGTAGAAAAGTAAATACTAACATGCTTTAACTTACATGAGGCAAATAAGTTCATAGGTTGATGGTCCAAGAGGAAATGTATAAATCTGTAACAATAATCAGTCTTACCCAAACACAAGAGTCATGTTTTTTCTCTCTCCTCAGGTGTTGCAGGATGCCCAGGCCTCGGAGGGTCAAGTGGTTGTGCTGGAGTGCAGGGTCCGGGGCAGCCCTCCTCTGCAGGTGCGATGGTACAGAGAGGGAGAGGAGATCCTGGACTCCCCGGATTTCCGCATCCTTCAAAAAAGTAAATATCTTCTCTCTGGATAAACTTAAAGGCTGAGTGAGAGAATAGAGATTGGGTCATGTATATTTTCAATGGTTGAGGTTGAATTCTGTAGTAAATATTCATAATCATGTATTGTCGAAGCTTAAGGCCAAATAATTCATAATGATCCCCAAATTTGTGTATTATCTTCATTCGAAACCCTTCTTCTCAACATTTAATTTTATCCATATATTTTTAAACAAGACCTTTTTCAAACTTGATATGCTATTAACTTTTTATCTCTTTTTTTTCTAGAACCCAGATCAGCAGCTGAACCAGGTATGTCATCACCTCCTGGGGGCTGTGGTAGTAAATTAAAACACACATTTAAGACCTGAAATGTTGTTAGCTGCTGTGTGGAAATATTGATGAATTTGATGATAGTTTTATAGTCTACCTTTCACTAAGCTACGACAGCAGTACGTTACGCCCGTGTTGGTCTATGGGTTACATCATGAGATAGATGGCGATAGTGAGTGAGTCGACTTGGCCTAGAACTGCCTGACAGGTAAACAATGACTAGTTACTGTCCCACCTGTCTGTCTCGGGTCAGTTCAGGTGTTGGATTGGTGTTGAAATTGAGTCACCCCAACGTCCCAAAACAGCTGTGACATGAAATCATGACTCAAAATCTCATGAGGACACTATCATCAGTCTGGTAGTGATTACATAAATTGTTGTCATGTCTATTGATCCAACCAAATACACAAATATACCTAATATTATATGGGGCCTATATCATATGCATTTGGTGCTTTTGGTCATATATATATATATTTTTTTATAAATACAACACAGTCAAGTGGTTGGTTTAAATAAATCCCTGTTTAAAATAGTGCAGTTTTCCATCATCATATTGTTAGACTGATCAAGTAATTTGGAAGAGTTACAGTTTAAAATGGAGACCTTCAAATCTAACGTTAAAGCTTTTGATTTCTAAATTACAAGTTGTCTGGGGCTGTATTTACCTGACGCTGTGATTCACTGTGATTAACTTTCACATGACATCACTCAACCAGAAACAGGAGCGCTCACAAAAGATTGTATTGTGTTATATAAAAGATAAAAGAGAGATTAAGATAATGATGAGTTAGGATAATGAGGGATGAACCGTTTAAAAGATATCAGTTGTATAATTTTCCAAAACAAAGTCATTATACTTAGCCATCACTAATAGTTAAATAGTTCGTAAATAATTTTGTGAAATCTATTTTATGCACACAGAAACAAACAAATAATTGAGTACGATTTGGTTTGGTGCTTAGACACTTGCATGTAGAGGTATTAATAGATCAAAAATGGAAAGCTTTATGAGTGCATTCAGCCATACTAATGTAATGAGAGGAGACTGATTGAGAGTTAATAGGGATGGACTAACAAAAAGTGAAAAAAATATGCAGAAAAATTGACGAAAAACAACAAATATGATATAAAATTTATATAAATCCATGATATGTATGATGTATGAATGATTAACACCTATTTCTCTCTGTTCTAGAGGAGATCTGTACCCTGGTCATTGCCGAGGCTTTTCCTGAAGATGGAGGTGTTTTCTCCTGCTCTGCCTCCAATCCCTTCGGCTCTGTCAACTGTTCAGCCCGACTTGCTGTCACTGCAGGTCAGCCACATGAGAGGAAAAATGTGGGCTACAAAAACAGAAATGTACACGCTTCAAAACTATTTATGTACAAGACAATCTCTCCCTCACACAAACGACTGAGGCCTGCACTCTGTCACACCAAACATGGGTTATTTAATCAAAAGAAGAGAATTAAATTATACCTGTTTGGGGAGTAACACTATGCAGACAATTCTGTTTTTGAAGTGGGAATGTTAAAACAGTCACTTCTTGTCTGGATCTAAAAAGGCATTCATAACAATAGTCTGAATAACACATCTGGAAAACATTAGGAGGATATTAGGGCTTTTTAGAAGATATGTTAATCTTTATTGGACAATTTCCTCCTTTTAACTTTGGTCAGACTTTCACTGTTGTGTTGCCAATGATGGGATGTTTTTTGAGGAAATTTGTTTTCCACATTCCACCCATCGCTCACTGCCGCTGGAGCGACCTGTCAGGAGCATTGGGTGACTATTCTAGTGCCCAAAGATCCTTCTACAGAGGAAGGATCTTGGTCAGGAGTACTTAGCTGGAGGATTATCTCATTGTCCATGTTTTATTCTGTAAGCTACACCTTCATGCATAATGGTTTACATGAATTCTGTACATTTGTTACCAGTTTTTAAGTTCATTGCACTCAGATGGCTCTATTGCCTCACTGAGATTTGTTTAAAATCTGCCTCAATATATTTAATCCTGTTTACACTGGGCTGGACACTCGTGCATTGATTGTGTGCACCCCTTGTTTATATGTGTGTGTGTGTGTGTGCATGTTTGTGTGTGTTTGTGAGCCCAGTGGTGGAGCAGGGGCTGAATAAACAGAATCAGTGAATGGGCCCAGCTGCTGCTCTCGATGATTCAGCTGGACTGTGTAATTGTCGGCTGTTCCTCAAAAAGATGGAAAATTGTTTAGAGTCTTGTAAATAAGAAAGAAAGATTTGGGGGCTAGTGTTTAAAGTGACACCAAATAATTGTGTATTTGTTATTTAGTACATGCTTTATGACTTTTTATTTTATGACTTCATGTATTTAAATTTTCATATAATTTCAAACATGAGTGTTTTATCCTTTTTCTCCAGGTCTTCCTTGTAACGTTGCATTTTCAAATGTTTTATTATTTATTACTGACCTTAGTAAGCTATAAAGGACCTTTCTTGACTTCTCTTGTCAGGATATAAACTATACACTCTTTTCTTCTGCAGCTGACGATTCCTCCAGTAACGGGGTGTCCAGTGATAACTCAGGTCTGGAGGACTCTGCCCCTTTCCCTCCTCCGCCCCCTCCCACAGAGATCACCCTCCTCGAGCTGCCCCCCAAAGCCCTGCCCCAGCCCGGCCTCATCAAAGAACTCGATCTGTGGCCCAATGTGTCTTTGCCCCCTGTGCAGGTGCCCTCTGAGGAGACCGTCCCGAATGGGCAAATCCAAAGTCCACCATCACCTCCGCAACAGAGGTGGGTAAAGTAAACAAAACTTTCATTTATGTAAGAGTATTGTTATGTATGTCAAATTTAGACATAACACGACACAAAAATACACATTAAAATAACATACTAAATATACTGCGAAAAATATGTAATTTTGGTTAAGGTAAGATACATTTCTAAATATTCTGTTACAAGACAACCAAATATCCTGTAAGACAAGGCATTGAATATCCCCAAAAATGTAAACATATTATTCTCCAGCATGTGTAAAAAATAGTAAAGTAAATGTAACTTAATAGACACTAATTTCTCCTTAAATAGAGAGCCAGCCGTGCCCCTCCCGCCTCCGCCCTCTCCTCCTCAGACTGAACCTGCCGCAGAGACCCAAGCTCCTGTCCCACCGGCGCCAGACTCACCCCCCTCCCCGAAACTGTCTCCATCTCCAGCCAAGGACGCCCCTCTGCCCCTGAAGCCCAAACCCAAACTGTGAGTACAGGGCTATCAGGTCCCATGTGGTCAGTGCCCCGGGACAGGGAGGGCTGCTGGGGAGGAACAACATAGACACTAAAACGATGTGGTTATTGAACCTTTCTGCAAACTCCCAGTGGTACAGTGACCCACTCCATGGCACAAGTTCATCATGTAGGAGATTATTTACATTCAGTTATTGTATCTGCTCTGGGAGCCATTTTATCAAATAAATAAATATATTTATTTATTTACTTGAGAAAATGGCTGAAATTGCTTATTATTATTCTATTATTAACTCTGCCTATAATAATGTCTCTTATTCGAGCATGTTGGGATTTTTCCAGAATAGTTTTAGAATGATCTTGATTCAGAATTAGTATAGACCACATGATAACAAGAAGCTCATAAAAATACAAAATACAAAGTTTGCTAGGTTGAGTGACTTTTCTTTTTATAGCCATTCAGCTGGTCTCTTGTTTGGTAATTATTTGCAGACAAAAACATGTCTCAGTCTGTGCATTTGTGATTTGCAGAAACTTTAATAACTCTGATGTACTGAGTAGCTGTTGTAAATAAAATGATTGTGTATGTGCGCGCTTGGCGAAAGGGTTAAAAATAGGGAGTCCTGATCAGTTGTCCCAAATCTCAATACAAAGCATTCCTTGTGTGTGTGGGTGTGGGTGGGTGAGGGTGTGGGTGTATGTGAGGTGTGGTGTGTGCCCATGTGCCAGCTGCTGTCTGTCTGCTGTAAACAGATCTGCTCCTATTGTTCCTCTGTCCTCCGCATGTCCGTGAACCGGTGTCTGCTTCGGAAATGGACATTAGATCTCTCCGTTTTGGAGATGCTTTGCCTGGAACAACCTCCCTACAAGGCGCATGAGCTCTGTCTGCCGAGATGAAGCATTTTGGGAACTGGGATATGGTTTCTTGTTTAAGAGCATCTTTTTTCTGTTCCAAGTGTATGTAGATAGTGTTGTGGCATTGTGGTGACAGCAGCTACGGATGATAGTTGATCCCCTTTTTCACGTGAAGTTCTCAATATTTGCATTTTAGAAGTTATGATATACAGTAAAACATTCATGGCTATAGAATTGTTACTGTTCAATTTACAAGGAATAAAAGCTACACATTACAGTTACAATATTTACTTAAATTATTCTGTTTTTTCCCAATATCACAAAAGCACAAACAGAGGATTCTGAAAAAACAGATTATAAATCAGCATCCATAATTCCATTCCTTTCAAGCTGAACAAAGTAATCAAAAGCTTGAATATTGCATGTGTATTCATTATCGCAGCAAGCTTGCACAGGAAAATGAATTCACAAACTCACAAGAATCTATCTGTTCCTGCTCCCACTGTTGGGCAACATTATGGTTTGAGCAAAAGCACCGAAAAACCAATGGCCTACTTTAGCTTCAAAAAGACAAACTAACAAGTGTATGTATGAATCAAATGCATGCACTGCAGCATTAACCAGCGCTTACGTCAGTGTGTTGACATGTTGATTCTGTGCTTCCAGAGCTGAGGGTAGAGTGGAGGAGGCACATAATGTCAGGTAAATATGCATTTTGGAGGCCCATGCTTGGAATGACGTAGCTCTATATTCTTCGTTAGTACAGGGTTTCTCAAAATAGATCGCTATAAAAGTTTCTTCTGCACTTTTCCACGACAACAAGAACACATAGTGCTAAAACAATGGGCTCCACACTGTGAGGCATTTAGTAAAAACCAAACCACTCTCCTCCTTGTTCTTTATGATGATACAGTGGAATAGCAGCAGTCTGATGGTATGAGGTCAGGTTTGTGCCTCAGTGTTCCTCAGGTAACTCACATCACATCTAATGATCTAGACGATTTAATTATATATCTGCACCATCAGACACGATCAAGGTCTCTTCTTTCAACTCCATTTGCTTCTAGTCATATTTAATACATCGTTTCTGCATCGCAAATTGAAGGGGGGCGCTGTCTGTTACATTTTGGTGAACTGCTGTAAATTGAATTGTGAAAAGTGTGACCTTTTAACTGCTACTTCCTCAAAGGCCACATCACATCAGCGCAAGACAGATTGTTTTATTGAGCACTTCAGTTGTAGCTCGAGGCATGAGGTCTTTAGACATTTAAGACATCCCGAAACAGGAAATATTTCTACAGTTGTGTTTAAGCTCTGCCCAAGCTGATAACCCTAAAATAACTGGAGGGATAGCGTGTTTGTTTTCATAGAGGAAAGTGTCTGTGTACTCAAATTTGGACTAAATGATAAGAATAACACGGAAAGGGGTGCAAGGGATGATTTCTGTTTGAGTAAAGTGCTGCTGATATAGGCGTGCTGTGTTACTTGGCAGAAAAGGGAAGCTAGCTGGGAGCAGTTTTTATTCTGAAAATGGGTACAGGTATTTGAGTTAGGAATGGGATCACTGGATGGACCGAGGGAAAAGGCAGATAAACTATAAAGTGGATATTATGACTGCCTCTCTGGGCAGGCAAAAATAATATTTGAATGAATTTAGATGGTAAATAAAAGTGTTATCATTTCATTATTCTGTCCACCAGTGAAGCTTTTGGAGTATTTGAACTGGATTTTCTAATATATGAGCTTTGGTGTTTTGCTCAGTTACTGAATGCAGAAATGAGTATTTTCTTCAATGCACTCATACAATATAGTGAAGGTTTAAAAAACAAAGTGAAATACATTTATATAGACATTAAATTTACCATCAAATAAGAATGTCCAGCAAATTTTGAGAAGAAAATCTTAAGTTACTACCTTTCAGAGGTGGGAACTTGCCAGTCGGGACTTGAGTCAGATTTGAGCCACTATTTTTAGGACTTGAGACTTGACTTGATAAAATGGATAACTTGGGGCTCGAATTGGACTTAAAGGTCAATTACTTGGGACTTGATTCGGACTTGAGACCTATGACTTGAGAAGACTTGAGAAACACTTTTAAATCTGAATTCTTTCTATTCCTGACCATAATTATTCACTCTAAGATCTTGTCAAGGCATTTAAAAAGGAAAATTTGAATTTCTACAACTCTTATATACTCTGTAAATACTCATATATAAATACACTATGACTTTATAGGTACGATTTAATTTTAAAATCATATAAATTGCAAAAATCTAAGCTATACTTTGGTTTAAAGACTTGAAATGACTTGAAGCTCAAAGCAGATGACTTGGACTTGACTTGGACTTATGGGCCAGTGACTCAAGACTCGACTTGGACTTGCCTGTATTTGACTTGGGACTTGACTCGGACTTGAGGTGAGAGACTTAAGACTTACTTGAGACTTGCAAAACAACAACTTAGTCCCACCTCTGCTTCCTTTACACTTAAAAGAAAAATTCAATTCTGTCAACAAGACAAAAGTTTTTCAATTGACAGAAAAGATTTTTTTTTTGTTATTGATCCTACTTGGACAATTTAGGGATTGCACAGACATGTTACGCTAATTAAATTGCTGTGTACTTGTGTAATGTAGTCATTTTGCCAACAGTGAAAGGGCACACAGACTGCAGGTGGTCCAGTTATTTGGTTAAAGCTAAAATACTGTTGATTCACTTTGTTTGGGTAATAAACACTGTTCAGGTAAGGACAAGAATGTGGCTGTAGATTTACAGATTAGTAGCAGCCATAAATGCTCTTTTGTTAGCTTGTATCCCTAGTGTCCCATGGAGTCTACCTTTACATACCAGTAGGATATCACAGAGGCTTCCTAAATAGAAGCACAGAGGCCTTCTCTGTGATTTATTCAACCATCTTCACTTGTTTTGACATCGCATGTATTTATGCCGTGAGTAACATTTGTTGGCAAAGTGCTGCTAAGAGCTAGATGTATGCCTTCAAGCTGTTATGCTAAACCACTGTCTGTTATATAAGCTCTCTCGTTGATAAAAAGCTTGAAGGATTTGAAGAAACTTGTAAAATTATAATATGAGGTGATGCATAGTGACTCCAAGATGGCACAATTTATATCTAAAATGCGTATGATGGGTGGATCTCTCTAATTACATGCAGTATCTTGTCTTGTCTATGACGTAAACCTTTTTTTTTTTTTTTTGAGTTTCTTGAAAGTTCTTGAGTATTTTGACTTGTTACGAAAAAAGTCCAAGTCAAATGCTGTTGGCTGTTTTTAAAAATTCGACAAAGATAGGAGTAGTTCTGGTTAATCTGGTTTAATCCTGGTTTAATCCTGATATAAATCCTGATTCATCTTGGTTTCATCTTCGATTTTGCAATAGTTCAGACCTGATTAACTGCTGGTTTCGATCTCACTTTAACCTAGTTGTGTGTTGGTTTTGTCCTCGGTTAAAGCCCAGTTTAGACCTGGTTTATTCTGGTTTGGTTTTCTCTGAATGATGTATTTTGTCACATACCCAGAAACATAAATAGTCAGCGGTTTCCATATTTTGTAGTTTTGTGACCAGAGAAAATGGTGTGAGTACATTGCAGGGTGCTTGGTCACAGAGATACTGTTGTGAATCGTGCTGGCTGGCCTCTGTACAATATAATGGCATAGCATCATGTCTGCTTGATTGTCACACAGTGTAGCAACAACAATTACCCTCAAACCGCTCCACAGCCTCATCTCTCCTTTAAACAAGCAGGAATCCACAGCGACAGGCCAAATCGTTTTGTAGCACGATCTGGTTTAACAAAATACTTTTATGTTCACTTTTACTCACTATGGGAAGATTAGTGCTGATGAAAAACAGGCTCAGCACTCTACAGAGCACAGTTAGCTTACTTTGGATTTCGTGTTTTGGCACGAAAGTTAATGTAATGCACATATAATGATATGGAGCCAAAGATTTATGTCACAGGATTTAGAGAACATGCCTCCATTGCATTACATTACACGTCTTAATCCAGTCACGCCATTCATTCCTATATAACATGTAAAAGCTTTGATCTCATTGTTTAGCTTTGAATCATATCCAATTTATTCTTACGTTTAGAAACACATTTTTATAGTGGCCTCTTATTCCCATAGTTAATTTTTAC